AAAGCACACCATCACTGGACTCCAGAGCAGATTTAAAGTGACAAATCCTGCATCTCCATCTGTAAATCTGATGGACTGGTCTGGGTTTGGTGGTTGCCAGGAGAACGACTCTTGTCTGGCTCCATTGTGTAAAAAAGTGTAAAGTTTTGTTGAGGGGGGATTATGGTGTGGGGTTGTTTTTCAGGAGCTGGGCTTGGTGCCTTAGTCCCAGTAAAAGGAGATCTGAGGGCGTCAGCTTACCAAGACAAGTTGGACAAATCCATTCTTTGTGGGAACAGTTTGGAACTGTCTCTTTCCTCTTCATTTAAGCAAGGTCCTTAACACATGGATAGCAGAGCCTGGTATAGATGAACATGAACTGGTTAGCACTGAGTCCTGATTTTAACTCAATAGAACACCTTAGGGATAAGTTAGAATGAATACTAAGGGCCAGGCCTCTGGTCCAACGTCAGTGTGTAACCTAATTGATGCACTTCTGCATGAATGGTCTAAAATAAAGATTTCTGAACCTTGTGGACAACCCTCCCCAAAGAAGTCGAGCTGATTTAGCTGCAAGTGGACTGATATCAAATTTGACATATTATAGCCCATTCCTATGGAATAGGAATGGGCTATAATATAATAACTTAAACTCATATCTGAGCCAAGGCAGGTAAGCAAATACTTTTGGTAATACAGTGTGTCTACTATTGGAAACATTTTGTCCAAAAAAAAAAACATCTTTGTAAAGGGATGATTAATGCATTTTCTTTAATGGGATGTTGGTGTTTTTTTTTTTTGATAAATGTTCATAAATTGATGTTTAAAAAAACGGCATATGGCTTCCAAACAAATGAAAAAATAAGGCATGTAAAACTATATCGCTAGTCCTTGTAGCTTCATTCTGTTGTGAAACAGAAAATATAATGGGATTAAAATGAAAAGAATGCAAACAATTCAGCATTTTATATTATGTTGATATTCAAAACATAGAGTGATTTTTTTTTTTTTTATCCTTTTTAGCTAAAGCTGTTAAGAGCCAAGGACGAAAATCCGCATGCGGTTCCAGAGCCCTGGGTTATAGACCTTTGAACTAAAGAGTTTGTGCCTATAGCAGAATGGTCAAGGATTCCTTTCTCTGCATGTTCCAGCCTTGAAGTATCACTGCTGTTCTATTACCACTATTAAATTGTAAGGAGAAGTAAGAGCAGAGTTACTAATCATTGTTCTGAAATCTTTTCCCCTGCTGAAAAAAATGTAGTCAGATTAAAGGCTAGATTTTCCTCCTTTTCTCTTTAGCTTCTGTACCGCTTGACAGAACATGCAGTTACAGACCCCAGCAATTATTAATAATGAATATCATGTGTATGCAAAACGCATAAGGGGGTAAAAACGTTTAATAAGATCTCAAATCCAGCGTCACAATTAAATGAGACAAATTACCTTTGAGAAACTACGGAACATGTTTCTCAGCGGCCCTGCTGCCAACATCCATACCTGTGTCTTCTCTGGTGCTTGTTAGCAGTCTTCCGACTTTTCAAAATGTCAGCTGTCGACAGAATAAATTGACGCCTAATGAAGAGAACCAAGAAGATAAAACTAGCAGCTGGCAGGAGCGTAAACCTCGAGTGTTTAAACAGAAATTACGTCCAATTCAGAGAGTGCCCCATGTTTTCTTATGCTCCTCTGCAGATTTTAACATCTGGCTCCTACTGGAATAATATCAGGATGTGTTTGTGTCACAGACAGGGTCTCTGTACGCTCCAATGAAAACATGCAGATGCTACTCACTACATGAGTGTTTTGTTTTTCAGAAATGCATATTTTAGTGTAGAGCAGACATAGCTGGGAAGGATTTTCAGGGAGTAAAGGTTTCTCATTAATTTTTGAATTTGCACAGAGGCTGACTCGGAGGTCAGCGAGGCTTTTGTTTGATACATGATTCATGGTGAGCTGGATATTAACTATTGCTTTTGAACTCATCCTTGACATTTCTGAAGCCTTTTCTGAATGGTCTTTTCACTTGGTTTGAGCTGCTTTAATAGAATACCATTTCAGGAAATATCTGTTTTTTTTAATGTTTCTGATTGGAGTATTATAAAGTCATATTTGAGCATATTACCATTACTCAGTTAATTGGTGTATAATACAGTTGATCAAGTCGTGCACTGCTTACTCTGGTCAAATTGAGGAATGTTATGTTAAAAGGCTTTAGTTGGAGAACATTTTGGAGTCATTTATATTATTTAGCTGATTACTAAGAGTGAAATCTACCTGATTTAGCAGCCCCTGTCTGTCTGTCTGTCTGTGTTGTTTTGAAGAGTTTAATACATGGCAGAGGCACTCTGAATCCGGGGTGGCTCCACTCTGCATCTGAACAACACATGTTAAAGTAGTCAATCAAATATAATTGCCCGCTCTTTCTGATCAGATAGTACAGGTGTGCGGTTTGTAGTCTGCCGCTCCGTCTCCTAGCAGACGTTTTTATGTATTGCAGCTCTGTTGCTTCATTCAATAAGTCAAAATGATGCAAAACATGTCAACATTTGAGATATTAATTGAAAATCTTTCATTTCATTTTTTTTTTCATATTTTATTTTTAACTAAACATGTTAGTCATACGATCCACGCTGGCTCTGAAAGAAAGTAGCAGTTCAGAGTTATGGTCCACACGGATTACTGGGATATTATAGGTCAGGTCCTTAGGGCATTTTGGTTTAATTAAAGATGGTACTCATTAAGTCATCAGTGTTCCACCTACATTATACTTGCCTTTTCATTTCAACTCATTATTGTTCTGCTGGAGATTTGGTGAATTATAAATTAATAAGAGTGGCTCGTCATGTGTGATGGATTCCCTAATCAAACCACTGCTCAAATCTGGCCTTAATAGAGGAATTGCAGGAGAAAACCATGATTAAACAAGAAAAAATCCATGAGACTCCTGGTTGGAATATCTGATGAGGAAAACCATCAGTAGTTGAAGTGCTTCACAAACCGGGCTTTGACAGAAGAGCAACAAGTAAAAATAAAAAGAAAGAATTTAGGTCAGAAGAGAAGAAAACTGAACTTTTTAACTAGATGTGTATCTGGAAACTAAAACTGAGCCTCTCTAAAAAGTTCTGATCACTTTAGTTTTAGATCCATATCTTAACATTTCATCCTTTCATCCTCAATCTACTTCTTACCAGTCAATAAAGCATTTAACACACAGTATCCAAGGACCTAAACTGTACATCATTTTCTTTATTTCCAGTAAAATCTTAGTTAAAGTTAGTCCTCTACTTTAATTGGATGCTATTTTCATAAAACAATTAGTTAATCTATTTTAGTTCTGATTAAAGTTTGGTTCTGTCGATTCTTTTAAAGCACCTAATATTACAAACCCAGATCATTCCAAGGCCTAAATTAGTACAAACTGATTGTCTGGTGAAATTGTCTCCAGACTCAGTCCTAAATCCAGATATTTTTTACTTTTTCCTTACCCAGCACACCTAAATCAGATGATTATTTCATTACCAGGAAACTAGATTGATGGCATGCTAAGTAGGTAGTACAGCTACATCCACTGAATCTCCTATAGGTAAGATGGGACCTTCCGGGCTGCTCTTGAAGACTTTAGTTAGATAACCCTTCTGTAGCAGGTACGATTTGACCTACGGCTTTTATGAAATGTCATTCGGAGGACAACTCAATTTCATACAAAAAAATTAGGTGCAAAGTGGTCAAAATTACACATGTAAAGATTGACCAACACCCCTGTGTAACAAAATGGTTGTAGAATCACCCTGTTTTGATTCTTCTCTTTAGCAGTGACAGCAGAGATTGAGAGAGTTAATAGAAACAATGAGAGTGATAAACATAGGATAATCTGGGAAGAAATCTTGCAAATACCTGAGAAGGGTGGAGCTTCACCTTCCACCTTGAAGGACATCAAATTATATAATGAGACTTAATTTTACTGTCCTTCAACTTTTTGATGCGCCTCTGCCTCCACAGGCCGGAATGAAATGGCTGACTGAGCTGCTCAGTATGCCGTCAATTTCTTCAGTCCTGCTAATTTCTCCACTCTGGTGTGCTGAATAAGAGACACATTTACAAGATGCAGACCAGACCTTGGGGAAATAAAGAATAATGGTTTTAACATAATATTCAGAGAGATATGCTTTATTTGTCATTTTTCCCATGAATAAAATGTCTTACCATCAAAAAAAAATAAGATAATTTAATTCATAATTAATAAATAAATTTGTCAAATTACTTATATCTATCTGTCTACAGTCTACTGTCTACATACAAACATATACTGTATATGTATATTTCTTGGTGACATCTTTACGTGATAGGTTCAGTTTTAGGTGGGAAAGGGGTTCTATATGAATGTTGGTTTTATTGAGGGTTTATTAGTTACTGTACATGTGCAGCATTTTTAGTTTTTTTGACAGCTGTGTTTTGAATTGCTTTATAAATACACCAAGCATATGGTTTTTAGTCTTCTGGTCTGGGGGTTGAAATTGTCGCACTAGTCTGCAACTGATTCATCCCTATTTCAGCAGATGTATTCATGAATTCTCTAAGGAAAGCACTATAGGTTTTTTTTTTTTATTAAGCATTTCCTTAGCATAAATTAGGCATTTTGACAATATTAAAATCCTAGCCTGTATAGACATTAGAGCTATAGTGAAATCCCCAAAAAAAACTGACTTTCAATTTAAAGTATTTTCATTAATATGGTATACAAAGCAGGTGAACATACCCTCGAAAAATAATTTAACAAATTAATTTATAAAAAATAAAGTAAGTAGATCTAATTTCTTTACAATACTAGTTGTTTAAACTGCATGGCTTTAAAACAAAAAGCTGTGGCTGAGACAAACAAGCAGCAGGCTTTCCATTATTGCAACCTAAAGACGGTGTCTGTCCCACTGTTTCAGATGTCTATCCTCATTTATAATTATTACAGTCCATCTTGTATTGTCTCGGTTTTGTTACTCCACCTTTGCCTTACTGTCTCCCTGCAGGGCAGTCATTGGACACAGAGACCCGCTGCCTGATGACAGTAAAGACAATATTACTATTTTCACCCGGATCCTTGACAGGCTGCTAGATGGATATGACAACAGGCTACGTCCGGGGCTCGGAGGTAACCAATGATATTTGTTAGATAAATCATAGACACCCACACAGAAAACCTTTTCAGCCTTGATGTTGACAGCATCAGACTCTAGAGTCCTACGGCAAACTAACGAACAAGCATTATAATAATGGGAAGAATAACCACATTTATCAGGCTTTATAAAATGGGATATTTTCATCTACATTAAGCTGCAATGTTGTAATAATTTCTCCCATAAAGATTTTCTTCCCTTGGACCTTCATTGACAAACCGATCCACCATAGGGGATTTCATGCATTCAAAAGGGATTCAATTCTAATTAATTTTATAGAAAAAAAAACAAAAAACAGATAAAGTGACAACTGGGACAAATATTAGGTTCTCAAGGTCAGGTACATGTGGAAGTAAGTGAAGGTTGGCATGTTGATCTGGCTCGAGCACAGTCAGCAGTTACAGCAGCACAGCTTGGCAAAGCTTATGAAGGGTATATAGGTATGAAGGTACTTCAAAGCCTTAGGCGCATTTGGTCTTATCCTCCATGCAGTACATACAGAGTTCAAATAGGACCTTTAATTTTCACCGCTCTCTGGTCTTATCTGTGTTACTGCAAAAAAAGTCTAAGGCGTGTTTATGTTTATATAGCTGAAAAAAAGCTGGGAGGTTATTTGTATCGTTAAATCCTGCTATATTGTGAAATGTACTTCTAAAGTATGTTTGGTTTTTTTATGCACAAATTAAAACAAGAAACATAATTTTTCTTGCTATGTGCTAAATATAGTACTTTACAAATACTGATGAAAAATATACTATGATGAGTTCAGGATTTATATTTAAACCTGAACACAAGCCTTTCATGACCTGTGATGCTTCAAATAAGAGACTTAATCACATCTATTGTTAGAATCATTTTAGAGTTATGCTAAGTTGTTTTTTAATTTTAACGGTCTTGAAAATGATACTGACTTGTTGTCTGATGTACCTTTAGAAATGAGGATGTGCCAAGCCAGCATGGATGGCTCAGAATCTGTTGCAACTACGGACTCAGCAAGTTTGTTTTTCTTTTTGTTTAGCAAAAGCACATAATCTAAAGACTTGCTATTAATATTGTTTTATGTTATTATAAATATGATTCAACCATAAACATTGGTGTGCATTCAAAGCCTCAAGAACTTGTTAGTGTTTTCATTTTCCAAATGTTTGTTTTTCGATTGTTCATGTCTTTGACACCCATCATTGTGCCTATTTTGCCCAATAGGGAGAGACTGAGGGGTGGAGGTGGTCCTCTTGACATCCTGCTTCAGTGGGTTCCATTCAAAAACATGAATAAGCTTTAATCTAAACCATCCTCTGCTAGTTATGGGTGTGTCTCCAGTGTAATTGCACCAAAATGTGCACCATGGACCCAGTCTCAATGATTTTTTAGCCTCCAAAATGGATTTTTTTCAGTTTTTTTATTGTCCCGCATTGTACATAGCTCCACCTATTGTAGCTTTCCTGAACCTGCTAAAAAAAAAATCCCCAAAATATTAGACTGCCACCACTACCTGTAACATAGGTATGGTATATTCTATGCATAGATATTCTACTTGCTCTTATTTTTGCATTTGTATTGTAAAAAAATATATATAACTTGTCTTCCATGACACAAACTTGCGCAACTACACATAAAAATCCAATAAAATGTATTTAAGACTTTGGCTGCAATTTAGCTATGCACTATATGTCTCAGTATCCTGGATATATATTTGCTGTAATCCTGAGTCCTTTGTTGTTCCTACGTGTATTGTATTTTTTTTTTTGCAAAGCATCTCCCTACATCAGCTAAGTGTGGGGCACCGTAGCTTGCAGAGATGCTTCACCAGCACATGGACGCTGATAAAGTCGGATCACTTTGTGCAGCTTTTTCATGGAAATGTACCCTCCCTTAGGTGGAAGTCTTTGTTCAATCACGCTCAAATGGCAAATAAGCATATATGTCAGTGAAAAGCCTTCTAATTGAGGCGATTTGATCCAAATACTCATCCCTCCAAGGACAACATGCCGCATAACAGAAAGCCCACATGCACATCAAGCAGGCTTCGTTATTTCTCAACCAGACAGCTGGAATGTCCATTTCTGCTCTAGTGCTTGTTACTCAAGCCTCGAGCCTGCCTTGGGGCAGGGGTACAGTCACCAGGCTGGATAACCTGGTGTCTGTGGCAACAACATTGAAGACAGACCATACACAGGTCATTATTGTCATGTTCCACTAGATTGATGTGAAATATCTTCTTCTTCTTCTTGACTTTTTTAAATAACACTGAATCGCTTTAGTTGTGACCCAACTGGGTCAGAAGTCGTAAAGTACTCATCACATTTGGTAAAAGACCCTAAATAAGCAGTGAATTCTTTAATGCAGCATAATCTCACAAAAGAAAATACAAGAAATTTGAGCTTTAAGTACATTTATTCAGTAACTTATGAGATATTTTCCTTCTTTCTTCCCTCTACATTTCACGAAGCAGAGAAATATCCTTGACCATCTGTCTTTGCAGTCTCTCTCCAGGGTCCTCCTCCTGTCTTCTGCTGTATCTCTTCAGCACCGCCTTCTGGTTTTCTATACAATCTCACTCAAAAGGACAGAGTTGGACTTGAAAGGAGGCTGATTTTGTGTTAGAATAAGTGTTTCTGCGCTGACCTGACCATATACTTTAGATCATTATCCTACTGGAAGAGATAAGAATATCAAAAAAATACCAAAACATTCACGTTGCCAGTCTAATGATGCCTATGGCATGTGAAATGAAACAGTCCCAGAGCTTAACAGATCCTCCCTCCTACTGAACTGTGGGCGAGAGATTATTTCGTACACAACCGTCCACTGTTCCATGCTAAAACCCAGCTGGAGTTTTTTGCGAAAAATCCAAACCTTAGTTTTCTTTAATCCAGTAACAGCTAAATAATGTTTGTTTTTTTCCATTGGTGATACCAGAACACAGGAGGTTCTTTCTTGCAGCAACTTTTACACATCTTTACCATGGGCACCAATGATTGCATCCAGTAGCTTATTTTACACATAATATAGATGTGAATACATTTTCTTTTTTAAGTTTTTAAAAGAAGGCTAAAACTGATTATCAGTTTTACAAAAAAAGACAGATTTTTTTAACCTCTTACACCCTAAGGGGGTATAAATAAATTTCTGCCTGACAAAAACACACAAAAGTAAATAACTTATGGCCTCAAAGCTATTAGATTTAAGAAGAAACTTTTGGTACGTCTGTAAAGGTAAGATGTCATAGAATGGTTTTCTGGTGTCAGCACCATTGTAGCTTTGACCCTGCCTGAAATATTAGGGATAAAATACAAAATATTTTGCATTTTTTGAACCTCGCCAAAATTTTCTTTGAAATAAACATTGCAAAACACTACCAAAATATTATTTATAGCACAAAAAAGTAGTACAGACTTTCAAATCTAAATGTTGTGTAAAAATATACCAAATTTGGACTCAATCAGATGAATCATATTTATTTTAGAATGGTATTAGTGAGAAATTTCTTAGGCGGAGAGGCCATTTTGGCACATTTATCCATAAATGTCACCAAACTGTGCCAAATATGTTTTTTACATCAATACTGGGGGTTTGGTAAAACTACGAGGTCATGTAGCAGCTGGACCCGCCGGTGGGTCCGTAGGGTTCAAGGGGTTAAAGTAAAAGTAATTTAAAAAAAATTATCATTCTTATAACTTTACAGGTGATAAATATCTGTGAGGACGCCTTCTTATACTTAAGTTTCCTGTCCAGAGCTTGCATCTCTTATACAACTTTTAAAAATAGTCACTAGAACACAAGAAAACATGATTTAATTTTCCTTTTCTACAGCAGCTGCTGTTCTCCCTCATGGACCTGGCATATTGCTGTAAACAGAAAGAGGGTGACTTGTTCTTTTTCTCTGCCCAACCCCAACGTGCAAACTGCTGACTTTGTGTTGTGATAATCACATATTTAGAAGAGCCATTTATGTTACAGAAATGATTAATGTGGAAGTGGATCTTTTCTCACGGTGGGGCCCTTTCCAAAGGATTAGAGACTTACCTGTGGGTGGTCGCTCAGATCTGGGACACAGTTAGGGTTGAGGATCCATTCACTTCTGGAGAAAGGGCTCATCTATCTCTAGTTGTTGCTGCTCCACTGGGAACAGCAATTTGTCTCGCCAGTGGCCCAAGAGCCTGCTTGGCATGATTGCCCCAGAGAAGCTGATTCAGCCCACACTGAAGGGGGCAACTTTTGACTGTCATGACTTTTATTGCATGCCCTACTTAATGCTACATTTAACTTATTTATTAACTCTTCAGAACAAGTCCCATGCTATTACTGTAGATATAAAAGTTACCACCCTGCCACCCCCTGTTAAAATGTCAGATTCTTGTGAAAGATGAGGCCATGAAAAATTATTTCCAAATTCTACATTTTCACACCTCTAAATTTGTCCTTCTTTAAACTCTTTCTCAATTAATTTCAGCATACATTACAATCCCACATCTTGACATGTAGATATTTGCCATTTCTACATCATAAAAATAATATCTGGACATATCTGGTTGTGAGAAGAATTTGCAAACCTGCAGACCCAGCACTTATTCACATTTTTTTCAGTTTAGCACTTTTATTGATATTCATGTACATTTAGATTTGGAGTAATTCTTATTTTTTGCAAACACACGGTGTCATGATTGTGCCCTTTGTGGATCTCTGTATAAGTTTCTTTTTAGGTATTGAGTTACGCTTTGATTTAAGTTTTTCTGTGTTTTCTTTCTCATTGGTTCCTTTTTATTTTGTGTTATATTTAAGCAGTGTTGTATTTTTTTAATTACTCTGTACTGCCCCCTTGTGCCAGTCTCCTTTCCTTTGGCTCCTTCTAGTTATTTCTGTCTGCACCTGCTCTCTATTAGTTAATTAGTCCTCCCAGTTTCTGTCCCCGATATATATATATATATATATATATATATATATATATATATATATATATATATACACCTCTTGTTCAGTTACTCTTTGCTGGATCCTCGTCATTCTTTTGGGTTATTTCTCCCTTGTGTCTCCTAGCTTTTTTGTTCTTGAGTTTTCCTTGTTGAGCAGTTCTGGACTTTGGATTTTGCATTTGATATGATTTTTCATTTGCAAGAACCCGACAATTTAGACCAGCGTATGCCTGACGTACGCAAAATCTTGGCGCTGGCATATGTTGGATAAGTTGTGGGGATGTTATAAGTTATGAGCACGCTGAAGTACACTGAAGCATGTTGAAACCCGCTGGCACAGGTCGAAATTTCTAAGTTTTGGGGCAAATGTGCTGCTGTGCTTCATTCATAAGTTAGGCAGAAGTTCTGGACTCGTTATGAATACGCTATGTATACGCCCAAAACTCAAAAATTACATATAAAGTTCAGTGTATGCCAGCTTTTTAGGAGATTATGAGACGTCGGGCATACGCTGTCTAAATCAGCAAGGTGTGACAGGGCCCTCAGCTTCCGTCTCTGCATTTGGGTCCTCTAAAAGCCTCCACACAACCTGACACATTGAGGTTTTGGGGTAGATTTTACCCTTCTGTCTTTGTCACATTTTTGTTTGTAACCAGACAAAATTGGAAGAGGTTCAGTGAGTATTTGCAAAGGCACTGAAGTAACACTATGTGCAATTACATTTTTAAGGTTTGATGAATGAAGTTACTATAAAACAGAGATGAAAAATCTGCTTACACTGCTAATCAAATTCTAATCGGAATTTCACAAGTGCCAGGCTGTGTAAAGTACTTGTTATGTGAACAAAGATTACCTACTGACATATGCGGAATGCTAAGCAGCTGCATTTGCTTCCTAAATCACTAGTCCCGCGTGTACTGTTAAATGTTTTGGGGCAGACTCAAACTAATTTGGGTCAAAAGGGATGTCTTCTTTCCAAAGACATCATCTCAAACCTGGCCCAGAGTCTTTTTTTTTTTTTTTTTTTTTTTTTTGAGCTTCAGTCAAACATATTGTAGTTTTACCCTAACAAGGCCGAGAAGTTGCTCAAAGCAACATTTTGCATCTGAATATAGGTCCAGGTGTGTGAAATAATCAATAGTTCCCGACCATCTCTTGGGGATAGTTATTACCAATGCTGTTTTGATCCGCTAGAGGATACATTCTAGCAAATCCGTGATACTATCGGGCCAATATAATGTTCTAAAACTTGCACTGTGTAGCTTAAAAGGCAGATATGGATTGGACAAGATTAAGAACAAAGACAGTTTAAATCCATGGATTAAACTACAGAGAAAGGCCCAAGCTATTCACAGTGGTAACTCAGTAGGCTTTGTACAGTGATCCTTTTTTTACATTTCTGCACCATATGATCCAATATTACATGTAGAAGTCAAAGATGGTCTGGGATTAGTCTGGATTGAAATTGCTGTTTTTAAGCAATAAATACATTTATAGACCTCTAACAATCTCTACAGTGTTTGTATCAAACGAAAATAGTGCAGAAATCCCATCTGAGGCTTATGATCGACCGGGCCACATTCAGTCACACTATAAATGCAGGAATTACCAGAGCATGTGTTGATTGATTTACAGCTTCATCAATAGTACTGAGTAACAGAGAAGCAAATGTAATGGGTTTGGTTGCCATGGAGAGATAAAGAACTGTTCTTTTCCATTTTCTGTCTATAAATTAACAAGCAGGTACGAAAAGGTTGTGAAATGTTTTTGTAATAGTTTTGCTTATATGGTTTGCCTCTGACACACTTGAAATTCCCCTCAGTGGAACAATAAATTATTTTTTTCATTCTATTTTTTCCACTCTTGTAATGATCTATTGTTTTATCTTGGCTCTTATGAGCTCTTTTGTGCCCTATTTTTTCTGCATGTTAAAGGAATAGTACACCCAAAACATGATTAGCCTTCATTTTCTACTCACCCCCATGCTGAACAAAACTCTGGAGTACTTTTTTGATATCTCAAATGCATCTGGAGATCTGGGAGGCTTCTTGCTGTCTGCTGACATTCAAATAATGGAGGTCTATGGCGCCCGAGACAGAAAGGTCCACAAAAGTCCACAAAAAACGTGTCAATATTCCTCCATACTGCTCGTCCAATGTAATCCAAGTGTCCTGAGTGGGTAGCATCCAGAATTTACTCGAAACGAAGTCATTTAGAACGTTTTAGAGCCTAAACAGTAGTGTATAGGATTTCCTAATAGCGCCCCCATGCGCGCTCACGATTCTACGGAAGCCGGCAGACCAAACCGGAAGAAAGTGCGCATTCAGCGTCTGCTCTGCCGATAATGCAAGCGTAGAAGAAGAAATGTGCTGTTTACCTGTGCAAAGAAAGAAACAACGAAAGAAAAATGTCTGAGGACTTCAGTGTTGAGGAAGAGCATGAGTTCTTTGCCGAGCTGAATGCGCTGGTTTGGTCTGCCGGCTTCCGTAGAATCGTGAGCGCGCATGGGGGCGCTATTAGGAAATCCTATACACTACTGTTTAGGCTCTAAAACGTTCTAAATGACTTCGTTTCGAGTAAATTCTGGATGCTACCCACTCAGGACACTTGGATTACATTGGACGAGCAGTATGGAGGAATATTGACACGTTTTTGTGGACTTTTGTGGACCTTTCTGTCTCGGGCGCCATAGACCTCCATTATTTGAATGTCAGCAGACAGCAAGAAGCCTCCCAGATCTCCAGATGCATTTGAGATATCAAAAAAGTACTTCAGAGTTTTGTTCAGCATGGGGGTGAGTAGAAAATGAAGGCTAATCATGTTTTGGGTGTACTATTCCTTTAAGGCCTTAAGGCAACAATTACTTCATATGCATTAGAAATTCATGCTTTAAAAGAAATAACTGACGATTAGGGCTGAAACAATTGATTGGTTTAATCGTGATTAATCAATTATTGAAACAATCGTCAAATAATTTAGTAATCAAATTGTTAGCTATAGTAAAGAGACTGTAAAACATTCCTTTAGCTGACTGAATAATCCACGTAGAGCAGTAATTATATCAAAATTAAAAAAATATAAATGATGATATTACATTTTAGATTTTAAAAAAACTTTTTGTCCAGTGCTCCTAATGTGGATACATTTTAGTTTCGCCTGGTTGAATTTTATAAAAATCTTCTTTAAGAAACCTTTGGCTGAACAATTTTTAATCGGTTAATTGAAATAAAATCGACAGAATAATCAATTTGCGAAACAATCATTAGTTGCAGCCCTAAAATCTATTATTTGCCCAGAGCCTCTACAATGATGTTTAAATATTAAAATGCATAACCTTCTATCTTATTCATAGAAGCTTATCTAGAAGCACAAGATTCTATTTTTTGTATAATTAACAATCCAGAATTGCAAAATCCATAATCCACTTGATGAATTAAGTGTTTGAATAAATTGTTCCGGTGATTTAGCTGCAAAGTGAATCTAATTAATAGAAGCAAACAGGATAGATGCAAATAAAAAATAATACAAATATTGCTGTAAATTCTTTTTTTTTTCTTCAGCATTTTACTGTCATTACACTGTCACTAGTACAGAGCATCAAATTTCACTCTCTGCATGTAACCCATCCCCTTGGGGAGCAGTGGGTTGCCATTTGCGGCGCCCGGGGAGAAGTATGGGCTAACGGCCAGAGTGGCAGTCTGTGGGAGTGGGTTTTGAACTCACAACCTTAGGATTCCAAGCCCTGTGCCCTAACCACTAGGCCTTATTTAACTTACCCTAGGCTTATTCTATTTGTTAAGTCCTTAAAAAACTCACCTACTTTGTTGAGTCTTAGCTAAATATTTCCAGACTTTAACATCTTTTTTTAGAATCTGAACTTTAACCTTGAGGTGCTGCTTTTCTCTTTCCTCAGAGAGTGTGACAGAAGTGAGGACAAACATCTACGTGACAAGTTTTGGGCCAGTGTCCGACACAGACATGGTAAGTGTTGATTTCTACTCTGCTAAATCTACAAATATAAAAATATTCTATTATTATAGACAACTTTACATTGAAGCATGTGCAGTTATTTGGCTAAAATTATTTAGAATATAAAACTGCCCTAAAAAAAGCTTATTTAGTTGCTTTTACTTTGGTTTGTTATTAGATATATAGCAATAAATGTGATTTTAATTTGATTGATCCAAATTAAAAACAGTTCATTTAGTAAAGTTTAAAAGGATGAATATATTGGTTAGGTTGTGCAAGTTCCCCATATAAGAAAAGCAAAAAAAAACAAAAACATTTTTTTTTTTTCTATAAGACATAACAAACAATGTAAAAGTACAACAATTGAGCTGGATGTCAGTTGTTCTTCTGAGTTGTATACCCAGGGATTATATAATATACTTGTTCTGATTCAAAAGCTCCTTTGAAGCCAGACTGGAGGACCTCTGTTTAATCCTTGGACCCCCTTCAGCATTTGACATATTTGATCATGCAGCTCTAATTGACCACCTTGGGCTTCAGGTTGTTTCTGTAGCCATCCTCAGAGCTGCTCTGACAGCCTGAGTGACTCAACAAGATAAGAATGCTGTGGTTTCTCTACCCCGTTCGTTCATGTAGATTGGTTCTGACCTTGGTTTCCTTTGGAGCAGCTGATTCTATGAACCAGAAGGAATCTAACTGTCTTATGTAAACCCAATTGTAGCAGATTTTAGTGTGTGTGTGTGTGTTATTTTTGAAATCTACCACTTTTAATTTGTGGCGGCATACATAACAATATGGTAGGGCAGAGTGGTTAAAAAAACAAAAAACAGCAACAAACAAAATGGTATTAATGCAAGCAGTTGTAGTAAAAGTCTTCATATCGCCTCTCTGCAGACACCTTACTCCTCTTCTCATTAATAGTTGAACACGTGAAGGAGAGCTGAGTGTCACAACACTGAGCCGCTGCTGAGAGCAGAGCATCCATCTTACTTCACTTACATCACACAACCTGGTGATCCTCATTTCATGATATTTTTATATGCTTGAAGCACCACCCCGACTAATGGGCATAATATGCAAAAAAGCAGATCTCCTGCTTTTTAGCTCTGCTCTGTTTGCTCTTCTCATCCACAGTTTTAATTTTCCTTTATGAAAAGCCACAGGATTAGTAATCTTCTTTTTTTTAAGTGAAGACTTTTTTTTTAAATACTGTTTGTTGACTGGAGATAAGGAGATTATAAAAAACAATGACAGGGGCAAAATTTAGGCATGCCAGCTATTGTTTTCTATGTTAGAGACCATAACAACAGTGTAGCATTATTTTTACGGTCCTTGTTTTGTTATGATTAAAATTAAAACCAATGAAGGGAGTGACTTAGGGGAAAGGATATATTTAGATATATGTGTGTCTATTTGCAATTGCACACATTAGATCAATTACTGGGCTATATTAATTTAGGTAATCAAAACATAATGATTAAACATTAAATAGAGCAAAAATCATTAATAGATGTAGTGTCTCTGTACCAAGTGTACCCAACATAACTACTCAAAATATATGGGATCTTTAAAAAGATGTTTTAAAATCCATAGGAGAAGTTGTTTTGGTCTACATCTATGATCATCACTGGTTTGGGTGAGCTGTCCGTACCCCTTGGAGCTCCTCTGGGCTTTGCTCCGCAGCGGAATGAAGCCAATGTAGTGTGAATTAGGAAGGTGGAGAAATTGGCAAAGAAGGAAGCATTTTGGTTGAATGATTGAAGGATTAAAGGTTTACTCACCTGAACATGCTGTGTAAAGACTAAATTAAATAGCAACTATTAAGTACCTTTTGATGTTAAATCCAGCAATGATGTGTGGTGGTACTTAAAGGCATCAGTGTGACAGACGGAGAGGAAGATTGGTGGATTTTCCATGGAGTACATGAAAACAGCATTGCAGGTATTAGGCCAATGGTGGGAATATTTCAAATCTGAGAAAGCATCTGGTTAGGTGCAAGATTTTTTGCAAGGCTGAAGATTGCACAATGTCAAATGGCCTCAGATCCACAACTATAACTCTTGCATTCACAGTCAGTATCTGTTGAAGTCTATTGTTAGCTGCAGCAAACAAAATAAGTCAGGGTTTCCCAGCGGGGTTTTTTTTGTCATTACTCTGTAATAAGTACTAAGCACCGAAATTCACTCTCTACATTTAACTCATCCCTTTGTGGAGCAGTGAGCTGCAATTGTGCGGTACCGGGGAGCATTGTGAGGTTAAGGGTCTTGCTCAGTTTCTGAGAGTGGGACTTGAACTCAGAACCTCAGGATTCCAAGCACAATGCCCAAACCACTAGGCCGCTACTCCCCAAATCAGGCATTACAGGGAAGGGTCTTGCCTAAGGATCCACACTGGCACCTCATATTAGTCCAGGGATTCTGTTAACATGATCGGTGACTTACCACTTGAGCTCGCTGTTTCAGGTAAATAAGCGTAGTGTTTTAGATTATATTTGCATGGTGTTGAAATAGGCACTGTTGATTACTGTTTTGCACACAACAATTTCTGCACACCAGGCATCTGCACCGTATCAGTTTGAACTGAAATGGTACCAACCATTTTTTAGTATTTACTACTAGTAACATGGTTTGTCCTGAGAATACAATTAGCCTAGCCAGCTGTCATACAGAACTTTGCACACTGCTTGTTTCTGTTCATTTATTTGTGTTGTGTAAATATATATATATATATATATATATATATATATATATATATATATATATATATATATATATATATATACAGAGATGGCAAAAGTACTCACTTTCCGTACTTGAGTAAAAGTACAGATACTTGTGTTAAAAAATACTCTGGTAAAAGTGGAAGTACTGATTAAACTTCTTTACTCAAGTAAAAGTAACAAAGTACAGGCTTGTAAATTTACTTAAAGTATAAAAGTAAAAGTAGAAACCACTTTTTTCATGCCGTTGCCTACATTTTAAATGGATGTCTGCCAATAGGACTAGATCTCCATCTCGTCGTCCATGCTACTATGCTAACGCCACCGCCACCAAGCTGCAATGATTTGCCGCCAATGAATACCGCCGAATCTGTCGATTCATCTTGTAGTGGTGCGTCAAATGCAACGTAGATTCCCATCCAATTAGATTGAATTTGGTGTTGATGATGTGAAAAATAATAACGGTAACTCCATTGAAATGATTCAAAACTAAAGTAACAAGCCAATTTTTTAAAATGTAAGGAGTAGAAAGTACAGATATTTGTGTAAAAATGTAAGGAGTAGAAGTAAAAAGTCGCCATAAAAATAAGTAGTAAAGTAAAGTAAAAATATCAGAAAAATCTACTTGAGTACAGTAACGAAGTATTTGTACTTTGTTACTTCCCATCTCTGTATATATATATATATATATATATATATATATATATATATATATATATATATATATATATATATATATATATATATATATATGTATATATATATATATATATATATTTAAATGTAGTTTTTTATTTATATTTACACCTTACCAATGCAACACTAGGCGTTGTACTAGCAAAGGAAAACATTCATATTCATCATCGTATTTCAACTGTTTGCCCATCTATAGGAATCTGATCTATAGGAACACAACATACTAAAAGTAAGTTTCCAGATTCTATTGTAAAACTTTCTGATATTTGCATATCATTATTGATTTTTTTTTCATCCCCTCCTGATAAATGGCAAATAAAGAGATGTACAGTGTTTTCATAGACAGCTGTATGAACAGCAGTAGATTTGTTATGGGAGGTCTAACTATATGTACATCTTCTAGTCTTTGCTCAGACTTAAAAACAATCAATCTAGTGTTTCCACTTGTTCTAATTTAGGACACATCATACATATCCATTTATTCACCCCCTCCCATGCTTTGTCCAGGGGGGTTAGATTTTATTATTATTGTCCTAGTGACAGTAAACCTCAGTTTTAGCTGCTTGACGCAGTGAAACACTGTTTTCCCAGCTTGCCTTGTGAAGTGGTGTTGGCTCGCTTGTGTTATTCTAATAGACAGTCCTTTATCTTTTTCCGGACATATCACCTTTGGGGCCTCTCACAACTCAGTTGTGGATTTAGAATATATTTTTTTACATGTTTCACTTGGCAGGAGCATGAATCAAGTGAAAACAGCAAGGGACACAGAATCCCACTAGTGGTAATGTTTTGGCCAGATAAACAGATAGTGAGGTCAATGCAGGTGTCGCCTGTCTAACTTCAAAGACAAAACTGGAACTGCCTTCATACACACACATAAAGCTTCTTTGTCTTCTCATCTTTTTCTATAAAGTACTGTAGGTGTTAAGGTATCATTTAATCCCATGTGTGTTTGAATAATCTTAGATTTCGCATCATGTTTCTATCTGTCCTTATTCTGTATAATAAAAACACACGTATATTTCCCTGCAGCATAAAATAACTTTTGAGAAACTTTGAAAATGTTTTTGTGATGTATTGTTCATAAATGATTTGTGTGCTCTCTTTTCATAATACGTTTGCTGTGCACCTTAATATCATGCATTTCGGGGCTTTCACTAAAACAAAACAACAAAACAATTCTTTTTCCAGGGTGCTATTATGTAAAGGTATAGTGCAGGATTTAAAAAAATTTTTTTAAAGAGTCGCCCTCTCCACTTTTATAAAAAAAAAGAATGCGCATGCACAACTCTGTACACGCTCCCGAGTGGGAACACGTATTAAACACTTGCTAGAGAATGCACAAGCTCATTTCTGTTCATGCACACTCTATTTAAAAGTTGCAGTTTGCATCACTCATACAAGCTTACTTTCCAAAAGAAGATTTGCAATTTTTCCATTACGTCTGACTCAGAACAGGTGTTACGCCGAGAAATACCTGCCTGCCAATAATTACCTCCCCCTCTCACACACTGTTATTGTATTGTAAATATATATATAACATATTGTTATATATATATTTATATTTATATACTTTGAATATATTCTTAAGAGACAA